AACGCATCTGTGCGATACACGGATGCTTTCACGGATGCACCTCTCGTGTTCATTTTTCCTTTTTTTTTTTTTTCTCTTCTTTTTTTTTTAAACCTCGCTCAAACTCGAAAATACTCGCTCGAGCTTTTTAAAAATCTAATCGTTACTTAATATGGTTAATTTGTTTTTGAAATTTCTTTTTTAATTATTATACTTATATCGTTATCAAAGGTATCAAAATTCCTATATCGTTTTGATTTTTTGAAAAGAAAAATATATATCAAGATAACTCGTCTATTCGATTAAGAGGCTTTATTTCAACTTTAATATTTACGATACTATAATACATATCGCGTGATTACTATGGTTTCCTATTAGTCACGAGCCGGTGAGCTGATAATTTCCCTTCACCAATTATCTTCCACAATATTATTCACTTCCCAGTTCGATACCTGAATTGATCCAAGATTAACATCGTTCCAACCTCGCTAAATACCCCGATAATTATCGTTACCTCATTCATCATTGATTTTATTTGCGTTTCTATAATCTATATATATGTGTGTGTGTGTGTGTGTGTGTGTGTGTGTGTGTGTGTGTGTGTGTGTGTGTATGCAAATAATATTTAGAAATCTGCATGGGATTTTACCGTTCGTTAACCGGGTTATTGAAAATCTTTCGATTTCACCTTTGACGTAATCTATCATTTGGATTACGAAGAAAGTTTTTACTCTAAACAGGAGATTTCTAAAAAGATTCGTGATTGAGGATAATCGGCTCGATAAAATTTATCGTGCACGAGTCGTAAACGAAATGGTCGCTTCGTGGACGATATAATTAATAATAAGCATTTAGGATACCAAATGAAGCAACGAGCGAGTTCTACCCAGCGAATTGGAACGTCTTCAAGATTTCTAACCGGTACTACAATTTGGCGCCGTGTCTCCGCAAAGATAACAAACTGCCACCCTGATTCACGATTATTTCGGTATTACTCAACTTGGGAAATAATACGTGGCGTGGTAATTAAAGAGACACGGGATTACAGGGGACCCGCTATCGAGACTAATTCCCTACAAAACGTTCCCTCGTAACTCCAAAAGCGAATTTTAACGTTCTAACGGGAATTGCAGGAAGTGTGTATATATATATATATTCTATCAATTACTCGACCGAACCAAGTAATTACCAACGATTTATTATCCTCATTAAAAGAAACAATTTTCGAATGAATTTATACATAGCGAGAATTAATTAGAAGAAACAGTTTGGAGCTAATTAAGTTGATGCTGAATTCGTAATAATCGAACGAGCACCGGTTGAAATTTAGAATTTTTCGCGTAAAGGAAAGAAAAATTAGCTTCGTCGCGGATTTATTTGTATTCTATTTTTCGAAACTCACAATGTCGAATGAAATTAAAACCTTTTTTTTCCAACGTTGTAACATCACTCGCTCCACCACCACTCACCAACGTTTCTCTTCTCGAAATTAACTCGAGGTTTTCCGTGTACGGTTCGTCTTGAAAGAGTCTTCGGTTTCGCAAGAGTTCGACTTCCCGAAACGAAGCACAATATAATTATCTTCCCCGCGGCTGAATCGTAAAGGTCGTCGTCACGATGAGCACGATCGTATGGAGTATCGCCAAAGAGAGGGCTCTGACGCGATGTACCTGGCATCTCTGATCTATATTTACAGGGAGAACGACCGATAGAATATGCGATCGATTGTGCTCGCTGCCAAATACCTTTTCCTCTCCCTTAACGTCCCCTTAAAGTAACCCGACAAAAGTTTAGTGCCAGCCCGACTACTTTCTTCCGACAGACGGATTATCTTCCCTCTCTCTCACTCTCATCTTCGATCATCGTCGTAGACTCGACGGCAGAGATCGAGAAACTTTCCACGAGGACGAATCTTACAGTAATTATAAGTATTCGCAATTCTGAAAGAAATTGGCTCATCTTCCGATCCGGGAAAATAAAGAAATTAAGGGCGAAAGGGGCGATAGGTATTCGACCTCCCCCACGCGGGGAGGAGTTGTTGACACAATTCGATCGAAACGAACGTTTCGTAGAAATCTTTAAAATAGACCGAGTGAGGTGCCAATTCCTCGGTAATTGCCGTTCGACAGACGAGCTTTGTCAGCGTGCCGTTTTCCGTGCTATTCGTGCCAGTAACCTCTTCCGTATATTTCTCTCTGAAAAACGAATTTAATCCAAGAGAAAATAGATTTTTATTTTAGCATCCATTCGTTTATTTATCCATTTATTAAAATCCATCCGTGCACGTGTAAATAAAGAAGAATAGAATCTCGACGAATGTTGCTATCACTGAATCCTCTCTTTTTTTTTTTAGAACGGCCATCGATTAAAAATTGTCCTTTCGCTTGGTTGCAGTATCCACCGCCCACCTGTTCGCTCGGCTCGCGCCTTTCTCGTGCCACCGTTTCAAGAAATTATTCTAATTAACCGTGTTGCTGTCCGATCGGGCAGACCTCGACTCTGTTTTTCCAAAGAAAACCAACAGATCGAGCTTCCCTTTCCCCCTTGGCCGAGGTCCAATCAATACCGGCTTTTCATTCGTCTTGGTGGACATTTATTTACATTTATAAAAAAGTGTTACAGGTGGCGTGCCTTGCACCTTGCATAAATCGCATGAATTCGTGAAGGTTCCTTTCTGGTTTTCGTCGTCGTCTGGATAGAAAAACGAGCGGATTCCTTTCTCTCCTTTTTCAGAACGGAATAAAAGTGCAACCGAGAGTAAGAGGATTAAGAGAAGCTTGTAATCTCGCGCTGTGGGCGTAAAATATAATGGGAGGGGAGGGAGGAAAGATAATGGAACGTGTATTTCCTCGTGTTTCCATTTGCCATGGGATACGAATACGATTGGGCGTTGCTGCATGCACGGCCTTGGCGCTTGCGTTTAGGTATGCGTAACGCGATGCTTTTTGTTTATCGCGAGAATCGATTTCAGTCATCCGAGTGATTTCAATCATTTCGAGATATCTACGTTTCTCTATATATTTATAACGAATTTTATTAATTTTGAATGAACTACTTTTAAACGCTTTTAATTTTTTTTTTTCATCTTTATATTCATCGATCGCAAAAGAAGCGAGCAATCGACGACTAATCGCCATTTACTGTTGATATTAATTTCTAAATATATGGAGAATCTCTCTTCCAAATATCCGTGAAACGAGTCGAGATTGAGTCATCGCGCGATAAGTTGCAACTTATATCAGGGAAATATAGGAAGGGAGGCATCGCTTGTTCGCTCGACTCCATCCCTCCGCTGCAAGGAATGCAGCGGCGGTTCGTTCCTATCTGCACAGCCGCGGATGCACACGGTCCGGAATGCGCCACCAACGTGCGCATTACGGTTCGATTGCGTGGGGCGCGGGCAAGGACGATTGTGTGTCCTACGCCACTTGTCGCGCTCGTTGGAATTTTCTCGGCTCGAAGTGGCCAGACGCCGCGCGACAAATAACGACGTTATGCAAATTCCGTTTCTCTTTCTCTCTCTCCTCTCCTCTTCTCTCCTCTCCTCTTCTCGAGGTGATTCACGCGAACGCCGTTTCACGATTCACCTAGGGCCGGGGGAGGAAAAAAAAGAGAAGGAATGGACGCGTCATGGGATTTTTTTCGGCCGGGACCGGACCGGTCCCAAATATGGCCGACCTTTCGAAGGACGCGAGGCGACTTGAAGGCGAAATATGTTATGACCCTTTTAAGTTTTCTTTTTATTTTTTTGGAAAGGAAAGGAGCGAAAGGAGAAATTCCAAGGTTTTGAAACCCGTGTCGATAATAAAAGTGTGGAGATATATTTACGGTAATTAAAACAATGTTTCGTTTTATTTGTCGTCGTATAATTATCTTGTTTTTTTTTTTTGTTTCGAGAGGAGATTTCGATTGTAATACGGGATATTTCTATGCGCGTTCTATTGAGGTGAAAGTATTTTTCGGTCGTTTTATGGAAAATGAAATTATAAATTGGTAGAAATAGGAGATGGTTGATATAACGAAGTGTTCATCGTGTTAATTATATTCTATTATCGTAGAATAAACGATGTAATTATTTGTCTAATCGAGTGTTTGATTACCACTCGAATTTGTACCAATACGATTTTATTTAGAAAATCGAATCACGCGAAATTCCTCAAACTGTCCTCATTTGATTTTCTTTTATTTATTACCGTTCTATTATTCGAAAAAAATGAAATATCTTCTCTATCTCGTTTCATTTTACGTTCTTTATACACACAAGAATAGACTCAACATTTATACAACTGCTGCTCAATCATTACTTCTACAGATAAGCAAAAGATTCAAAGTAGAAGATCAAAGTGTATTCAAACAAGATTTTTCTCGTTCTTAAGTAATTACCTAATTAATCACTTAGTCGCGAGTATCTATATTTGTTTTCTCCGATTTTTTTTTAAAAACTACGCCAATTTATCTCATGATTCAGACGACTTCGTTTTATCTTATACCTCGCCTAGCTCTTCAATATCTTATCGACTTTGATTAATTTTAAATTCTCGTAAAACGTACACCGATCTCCATTAGCATCGACGATAAATAATTCATATATTCGAATTACCAATCTTTCTTTCTCTCCTCACCTCGTATTAACGAACGCAATCGAACCGTATTATTGTTCGAATAACTATTCCACCATCATCTCCATCATCCATTCCATTAGAAATCCGTCATCGATTCACGCGAAATTTCCACGATAAGCTTTGATAAATGTTGACGACGTCGAAATCGACGTGGATAAGAAAACGAAATATAAAACGCGATCGGTGTTTAAAACGGCGAATAACCCATTCGAGTGGACAACTGGTTACGCTAATGAAACCAGGCGAAATTTTCGCAATCGACACCTGTAACATGCGATCATTATCGCGTCGAGGGGATACGCAAATGCAACGTGACGATGGATAAAACTGACGCAACTCGGGATTCCAGTTGTATAACGCTTCGTGTGCGCGCGGCTTCGCCAAAGTGGTTACGTTATTGCGCGTTCGGGCCACGCCTCGAACACTAACGCGTGCTTTTCCTCGGAAGATATTACGCGGCGGACAGAGTTCGTTCGCAAAGAGGCATCACGTATTCGAGATCGAGCCAATGGATTAAAACGTTTCTCTTCCACGAACCGGGAAAAATCGTGTCTCGATTAGGGAGATTAGAAAATTTACGCGGCTCTGTTCTTCATTTCGATCTCGTCTCGAGCCTCGATAAATCCGTGATCGCTTTATTCTTGAAATTGTTTTATGTTATATCCTTTTTCTTATATCCTTTTCGAGGGAGCTGAAACGATTACGATTTCGAAGTATTTATTATAAACCGATGTTAAGTGAACTGTTCCGTCGAGGAGATACTCGATCTAATCTTTCCAAGGCACGGTCTTAAGTTTACTTTGTGAATTCATCGTTAAACTTTGTGGATGGTGGAAAGTGGAGTGTGAATAAGCTTTTATTATTATTTCTCGGAACGTTTCTTGGTTGGAAATGGCTGGTGTGCGCGAGAAGAGCAATCATTGCTAACCGCTCGACTTATCTTTATGTTTCAGGTAAGCCAACAACCGTGTAAATCGGGCGAGTAATTAGCGAGGGGATGTCACGGATTTCGCGGATACCGTAAAGCTTTGAGTTTAAACTCCATTCGAGTTTCCACATCCGCGTGAGCAACGTTTAACGTCAGATCACTCGACCGATAGAGCGGCCGCTTTAATTGCTCTCTGGTAAGCCTGTGAGAAGAGTTAATAGCCTCGGATACGTTTGATCGGAGAAACTTCGTTTGACCCGAATTTCACTCCTCCCCCTTCCAACCCAAATCGATAGACAATGCGCAAAATTAAATTAAATATTCAATCAACGCTTGAGATTTTAAGGGATCTTTTATGGATTCGTGCAAATACAGCGGAAATTACGAAATATCTATGTGCAGATTAAACGTCTCGTTTGAATTGGTAATTTAAAAATTGTTTTTCACCAAGTTTCGTTTTTAATTGGTCAACTCGTGTCCTTCGAGGGAAACCTGCAAATGATCGATTTTTATTACCGAAATTATTACAATTCTCTTCGAGATAAAATTCAATGATGATACGCTTTAAAGGATAATTAAAAAAATAAAGAGAAGATGAGAATTATAAATTCATCGATTAATCTCCAATACCAGAGAACGATATCGAGAAAATTCCGTTACTCTGTCACACGTACGCCAAGGATTGAGATTGTTGCCATCACAATCGACTCGCAATTGGCGATCGAACAAATCGAGCGGAACAGAATTGAATTAAACAGGGATACGAAGAAGTCCCTCTCCCTTAATTGGATTATTTAATCCAAGGTGGAAAAAGGTTTCTACCGCGACACACTGCACTACATACAGTGATAGATGATAAATAGTTGCGTATCGTAAAACTTGATCGACAAACAACCACCCTAGAGAACGATTGGTGAGAAAGCAGGTAGCCTGTTAAAGTCTCAATTGTGCACGAGGAAGACAATAAAAGAGTGGCGTATCATCCTAAACTCCCAGCTAGCTAATTATCCTAACGAATGGAAATCGGAGTGGAGGCCGCGCGTAGCTGTTAGCTAATGTTAGCTCGTGTAAAGCTCCTCATTAATTAAGTCGAGTCCTCGTTCACGCGAAAATTGGGTCGAAGAGTTGGTTCGAATACACGCGAACGGTTTACCCGTGGGAGGTGCAGTAACCACTCACACACCGAGGTTAAAGGCACCGAATGATCCTTGACGCGAGTGACTAATTACTTTCATATATCTTCTGGAGTTTAAATTAATTTTCAAACGAAGAAGAAACACCGTTTTCAAATTGTATGTTTTTCGTGCGTCTCTTGAAGCGTAGTAATTTATGCATTTATCGAACGCCGTTTCAGGATGGAATGTTAACATCTGGGAACGACTATGCACGCGTTATCCTTTCCTTTTTATATTTCTTTGAAATTGTAAAAACACGCGTATATTTTATCGATCACCCGGTACGTATCGCGAATCCGAGAATCGACAAATTCTCTCGAACCGTTCCGCAATATACCGCAAATTCCTGCTCCATCCCCCCAAAGTCAAGCTTTAAGGCATATCCTTCTTCCCACGTCGGCTTCGAGATAACGACTTTGCCGGAAACCTTACAATTCCTCGCAGCATCGAAATTATCCAATTACCTACGATGTTTTTCCTTCCGGTAGGGAGGGGATAATAACCGCGAAAATACAAATAAATTTATTATCATTTCGAAACGGTCTCCAACTTTCGATACTTTCGATCTCCGTTCTTCCATTTCCATCTCGTCTTTCATCGTCGATAACCGGAAGGGAAGAAGAGACTTGCCACGAACAATTGTATCGAATCCGACTCCGAACGGATACGGTTCCTCGATTTCCATTGAGATCGAGGCTTTTGTCCCGAGCTTTCACCAGATACCAGATTTAAACCCTTGAATCCGGCGACGCCGGTTTGTTTCCTCCCCCTCCCTGTCCACGTTGGGACACACGCGCGCGAGATACGTGCAGGTGCACGACGTGCACACTCGACCTCGGGTGTAGTGTTTCCCGTACACGGATATCCCGAGGTGCGTATGATGTTACCTACTCGAGGTTCTCTATTTTCCTTTCGAAACTCTCGGCTCGCTCTCTACGAGGATCTCTACGCGGTTTCTTCTCCTCTTCTTCTCTGGATCTCCTCCTCCCTCTCTCTCTTCTCGTGGAAACAGTTACGGGGAAACGGTGGCCGTGAAATTCGACGGGGAATTCACATTGGAATTCTCACGGTGGCCGCCGGTGTTTCTCGTCCACTCGTTGACCGGGTATATAGTAATTTTCGATGCTCTTTGTATACGTTTTATTGTTGCGAATCGAAGCATTAGATATTTTTAAAGAAAGGTCCGTGATTCGAATGTAGTTTCTTTAGTTGAAGATGTGAAGTGAGAAAAAAAGATTGATTAGAACGTTATTTTGCTACTTATTTTAGATTTAATGTCCAATTTGGAATGGCGATTAAGGACGAGTTTATATTTGATTATAAAGAATATTTCGGAATGTCACGTGAAGTATAGTGTATGGAAATAGAAAAAAAAAAAGAAAAAAGAATTTTTGAATTTTTCGTTAATACGGCTTACGTCGGAGTTAGGTGATTAATGAACTAGGAAGAATTATAAATGATATGCAGCCTTATTAGTACAGGAATGCGTAATGACATTTCAACTATGCACCGCGTTTTCTTCTTGCATTTAAAAATAGTTTAGAACGGAGCACATGCTCCCCCAAAATAATCGTCACTTTCACGACCGTCCTCGCGTCGTATCGTTAAATTTGACCCAGTTTAACAGTGGAACAAAATATTCCTATTATTTCAAATAATTAAGAGAAAAAAATACATATATATATATATATATATATAAAAGAATATTATAATATTACAAGTAGCTTTAACTTCACTGCGTTGGGTATATTTTGTTCGATGATTATATACATATATATATATATATATATATATATATATAAATTATAATTCAGACAAGGGTTAGATTTTATTGCCACCCGGTATATATCAAATATTTATGGAATCGTTATTTTCACACGTATATGGATGACACACTTACGATTAAATAGTTGCTACGTAACCACACGTATATAATAATCGTGAAACAATCTGCATCATCGTAATCATCCGTTACTTTAATCTCACGATATGCATAAAAATTCGTGATAAATGTATAAATGTAACATATAATCCATCACATTTGTATAAATCCAAGATAATTAAACGTTCAACAATTTCTCTCAGGATTGTTCGTCTTCGCGATGATGCAAATAGAGTTAATTTAATTTTAATAAAAGTAAAGTCACTCAGTTCGGTCGTTTTCGATCGCGTTGGAATCTTCGTTAAAAATTCACATCTCGAGGAGTGAGAAACAATAGAACGAAACTCCGGTTCGATCGCAGAACCAGACACGTAATTAACCCGAAGATAATTCTTACCGAAAAGACCGTTCACCGTTATTGTCTCTGGACTCTTCAATTTCCGTGCTTGTTCCGTGCTTCAAGCCTCTCCTTTGTCGCCGACGTCCCTTGTGAGAAGTCAGCAACCGTGAGACGTCGACGACAGAAAGAAAGGAGCACTTTGTTACGAGGAAACGCCTCGTGGAACGCACTCGAGACATTCTTGTTCCGCTGAAACGCGATCCACTTCCTTCGAACCCAAATCTAAAATACGACAACTTGTCGCGTCTGCCGAAACGTTAAATTTAATATACGTGGAAAAAAGAAAAAGAAACAATGTAAACCTCTTCGAATTGCATGCTGAACAATAACGAAAAGAAAATAACTAGGACTATTTGCATATTTTTTCTCGAAATACTTTAAACGATTTCGAACGCATTCCAATTAATCCCAATTATCGTTTAAAATTAATCAGCAGCACACTCGTTAATTGTACGTCATTTTCTCCCTTCAGCCAGGGAACAAAAAGAAATTGATTGACGAGTGTTGCGAAGGAAGATGACGCGAAGATGGCGAAGAAAAATTTGTTGTCCGTTGGAGAGCGAAGTGGAAAGCGTTTTCTCGTTTAGGCGGTTAATAAAGGCTGGGCAAGGAGGCGGCATTCCGCCGATTCGTGGCTGTGTGCCTACAATTATCGCGGTTTTCTATTATGGTACCCGGGCCACCGGTTCAGACCAGGCCGAAACGCCGCGTGGCTGCGTGCTCTCTTTGCATTTCTACGTTCCCACGTGCCTCCGCGAATACCTCCACACACGCTATACAACGACTGACGGCCCGGCCTTTCTGGCCTCCGCCTCACTTTTCCTCGGACTAATAGTCGCCTACCTTGGCTCATCCGAACGATATTTCGGTGGCACGAAACTAATAAGTGGCCGAGGCGAAAATAGAAGCGGGTGTGTAGGGGAGGAAAGGATGGGGATTCGGGGATTTTCTGGCAACGAGAAGTTTCGAAGTCGAGTGTTAAGACCCCTTCGAACCGCAAAGTTGGGCAAAGTTGCGATTAGCGGCGGTCCACTTGAAATTAGGGGCGTTGTGTTGTGTTTTCGCCAGAACTCTCTGCCTCTGTTTCGATGCAAAAGCATTTGGAAACGGCCTCGATCCCTCGGGTCGGACGCGAAAACATCGTTTTTCGTGAATTGTGAAAGCACGAGAGCTTAATTCACGCGGGGGAGGATTATCGTCCGCGTTGATGTTGGCCACGATCGAGTTAAGTAAGAAGATCCCGTGGAAACAGGGCGATAAATTCGATGGAATTTCCTCCTCTGAAACCAGCCTCCTTTGAAACGAGCGTTCCGGGCTAATAGACGAAACAGCCAGCTACGAACTATAATCGTTCTGAACGATGAGCGAAACAGTCGTTATTGTATCCCATCAACGTTTTGCAGTCACTTCGAGTTACGAGACAGCGGCTACCTAAACTCTATCTCTTCTCTGTCTCTTCGAGTCGCGAATAGAATATCCGCTATTTCTGTCTTTCCACGATTCTCGAGCCTCGAGAATTTTTATTGATCCATATTGAGTCGAAAACGAGTTCTTTCTTTCTTTCTTCCTTCCTTCCTTTCTTTTTTTTCTTTTCTTCCTTAAAATTTCTCTTTCAATGGAAATTCTAGAAAACAAAATTCCGGAATATTGTTCCTCCGCGTCACGAAATCCTGTGTCGAGGATTCGCAACGCACAAGCAAACAATAGGGTTCCGTGAGTGGTCGCAACTGATTATACAG